TCCTCTGGACTTGATATTGCACCTTGTTACCCTTGGGTGACTGGGCCTTTTTGAGGGGGAAATTGAGGCAGGCCAGCCTTGCTGGGGAGGCAGGGGAGGGTCCTGCTGTGGGAGCCAGGAGGCCCAATTTCAGCTCCTCTGGGTCATCTGGACTCCCAGACCCTGGGTTCTTTTGTACAGTTACTTCTTTTATCATAAAATACAGATAACATAAAACAAATTTCACATAGTAGATAGAGTGTAACATCTAAGCAAGTCCCTGTGTAACCACAAAAGAAAATTGTCAGCTCCCGGGACACCTCCCCACTCTGTTACTCGTAAGTGGAACCACTCCTTTGGGGATCTGTGTTTTCCTTGATTTTCTGCCTAGTTTTACAAGCGAGAAAGGCATCCCTACATAGTATTGTTTTGCCTGTTTTGAACTTGCTGTGAATGGGGTCATCTTTGATGTATGACTTTCTCTCTGGCTTCTTTCAGTCTGTAACATTCTCCTTCCCTGCTGGATTCAGCAGCAGCTCAGTCCTTTTCGTTGCTGAGTAGTGTTCTACTTTGGATCTATGTGTTTTTTATCCATTCTCTTGTGGGTGGACTCCTGGTCTGTTACCAGTTTGGCGTTACTGTGAATATTGCCACTGTCAACATTCTAGTACAACAAGCCTTGCTCTAGAATGGAATTACATACACTGATTTCCTTGAGAGGCATTGCTAGGTCATGGGGTAGCCGGATACTGAGCTTTAATTTTGACTGCTTAACCGTTTTCCACAGTGGTTGAACCATTTTGCAACTCCCACCAACAGTGAATAAGGATTTTGATTTCTCTATGTCCTTGTCAACACTTGGCCTCGTCCGTTTTTAAAATTTGAGCCGTCCCAGGTAGGTGGTTGTGATTTGCATTTCCCTGTAACTACTGAGGTGATGTGTGTTTCTTGGTTGTATGGGTATCCTCTCCTGTCAGGTGCTCTTGCTCTTCTCACCTTGTCTCCCAGGTGGCTTGCCTTGAGTCAACAGCTGCAGCTCTGGCCCAGGCCCTCAGAAGACTCATGCCCAGCCCCCACCAGTAGTGAGTAGGGTAGGGTCATACGGGGCCTCCCCTCTGCGGGGTGTGCTGCAGGGGTCCCACAGGTGAGACTCTGTCCCCCAGCCTGGGTGTCCTCTGTCAGCAGCTCCCCAGTGAGCAGGCCATCTTCTTGGCTGCAGTGGCTGGTATTTCATCACCCCAGGACTGCGTCACGGACACCTCAGCTGAGGCGCCACCCTCAGTGGGAGGACAGGGCAGGATCCAGGCGGGACACAGGGGATCTTCCAGTTCCTCCCCCTGTGCTCCCTCCAGCTGTGCTGACTCCTTAGTTGCTGAAATGAGATTATAAAAAGCGGCTCTGTTGATCCCAGCAGCGGCCAGGGCCTCCACTGCTTCTCGGCTGGGAGACCCAAGGTAAACAGCTTCCCTTCTCTTGAGCTTTTGTCATCACCTGGGCATGGTCACCGACTCTGGTGGGTGTTGGGAGTGTTCAGGAGTGACTCCATGGGAGCGCCAGCACCCTGCCCAAGGCCACCCAGCTGATGGTGGCTCTCGGACTCTGGAACCCTGCCCACTCTTGGCCACACCTGGCTGCCCTTGCTTCTCTGGAATAATGGCAGCCATGTGTTTGGCTGTTCGCCGAGCCCTGGGCCCACAGTGGGTGCTATAGTGCTGCCGATAGCCCAGCTGCTGCCGCATCACGAGGGCTCTGAGAGGTGATGTCCCTGGGGCGCTGTGGGCAAGCGGGACAGGAGATGTGACAGGGTGCCCCTGTTCTATTCCCTCCACATCAGCCCTTGCTCTGGACTCGGAGTTCTCCCTCCAAGCCATTTGGGAAGTCTTTTGAACTGAGCTCGTGTCAGGGAAGGTATGGTGTGGGTCTGTGTAGGGAGTGGACTTCTCTAAGTCCTAGCTGTAGCCCAGAAGGCCTGAGCTTTCTCCCCTGCCCACCTCTGCCTGGCTTTCCCTCACCAGTCCCCCCTGCTGCCTCTGGTCCTTGCATTTTCTGTTTCCCTGAAATGCATTTCCTCGTGTATCTACACAGCTCACTCCCTCACTTAATTCGGGTGTCTGCTCATGAGTCCCCCACACCAAGTTAACATCCTATTCTTCCCGCCTCCCCACCACCTGACATTGTCATTTGCATATCTGTGTATTTTTCTGACCCTCCCACCAGACTGTGAGGCTCATGAAGGCCGGGTTGTGTCTTAGTGACATCCTGTTGCTGGCACCTCCCGGAGCCTAGGACGCACCCCAGAAAAGACTGGTGGCGTGAAGAGCATCTGGTAGTGTGTCTGGCTGTGTCTGGTCCTAGGGTAGGGGTCTGTCTGTTGGGGACACTTGGCTTCTTTCTTTTCTTTTCTTTTTTTATTTTTTGAGGTGGAGTTTTGCTCTTGTTGCCCAGGCTGGACTACAGTGGCGCAGTCTTAGCTCTCCACAACCTCCGCCTTCCAGGTTCAGGCGATTCTTCTGTCTCAGCCTCCCAAGTAGCTGGGAATATAGGCATGTGCTACACTCCTGGCTAATTTTGTATTTTTAGTAGAGATAGGGTTTCTTCATGTTGCTTAGGCTGATCTCAAACTCCTGACTTCACGTGATCTGCCCGCCTCAGCCTCCCAAAGTGCTGGGATTACAGGTGTGAGCTACCACGCCCAGCCTTGGCTTCTTTCTTCATGTGCTCAGTAGATACCAGACTCTTTGCTGGCCCACTGTATTAGCATTTATAGTTGTGGGGTGGGTTGCTCCAGGGGTGCACAAAGAGCACACATTGCAGCCTCTGAGGTGGGGAAGGCTTCCTGGAGGAGGCACTAGTTGAGCTGAGACCTCAAGGGAGAGGGAGAAGAACGCCCAGAAGGAGGCTCTGTCCCTGATGGAGGCCAGAGGGAAGTGCCTGAGTGACAGAATCGTAACTCAGAGAGTAGGGTGGGGAGGAGAGGCAGAGAGGTGCAGTAGTCAACATCATGCTCCTTAGGCTTTCCCGAGAGCTTTCTAGGTGCACGTCTCAGCTCATGCACCTGGAACACAGGGCTGCAGAGGCCACATCCTGAAGGGCCTCGGATCCTAAGCTGAGCAGTTTGGCTTTTTTGCTGGAATACCAGGGAGCCACAAAGGGTTCTGAACAGGAGAAAGACAGGTTCAGCATTGAGGGTCCCTCTGGCTGCTAAATGTGGGGTGAGTGGTGAGGAGCAAGAGTGGAGCGTAGGAACTCGGGGAAGAGGTGGGGGCAGACCCAACTAGAGCCAGGCCAGACCTCGGGCAGGATGGGGAGAGGTGGTGACATTAGAGACTGACACGGAACAGTGGGAGATACAGAAATACATATATATATATATATATATATATATATTTTTTTTTTTTTTTTTTTTTTTTTTGTGACCGGGTCTCATTCTGTCACCCAGGCTGGAGTGCAGTGGTGCAATCCAGGCTCATTTTAGCCTTGACCTCCCAGGTTCCAGTGATCCTCCTGCCTCAGCCTCTGAAGTAGCTGACATTACAGGTGCATACCACCATGCCTAGCTAATTTTTAAACTTTTTTGTAGAAAAAATTACGTAGTGAGACACGGTCTTGCCCAGGCAGGTCTCAAATTCCTGGGCTCAAGGGATCCTCCCGCCTTGACCTCCCAAAATCTTAGGATTCCAGGCGTGAGCTGCTGTGCCCTGCTGAGATGTGGGGTGTTGAGGATTGAGAGTCTGGCAGTCCTCTGTGTATGGGTTGTGGGGTGCGGGGCGTTGGCTTTGCAGCTTGGAGTCCAGAATGTGACCCTCATCCTCTTGTTTACTTCCCTGTCATCGTCCATCTTCTGTTTCCTCCCGCTTCCTCCCACTTACCTCCCTTCCTTCTGCCCGGGGCCTGGGCAGCATGCCACTGTCACATGCCAGGCAGTAGCGTGTCCGGCCCACCAGCTCCCCTGGGGCACGAGAGAAAGCTGATGCCCACGGTGTCCCTAGAGCCAGCTGCTACTTCTCTGGGGGCCACCGTAGCTCCTGACCTGCTGTCCGCAAATAACCCCAGGCTGGAAAAGGCAAAGGCGCCTTGGGCTCCGTGGATCCTGGCCAGGCCCCAGGCTCCAGGTAGGGGCCCAGCTGGCGGCCGCCTCACGCCCTCCTCCCCTCCGCTCCGGGAACCTGAGACGAAGCAGCGGCCTCGGCGTCTGTCAGTCTGTCGGTTGCTGGTCCCTGAGGACAGAAGTGGAAGTCCTGGTGCAGGGACCAGGGCCTTGGTCAAGCCCCCGGAACTTGCTTCCAGGCCTGTCCAGACTGGGCATAAGCAGTAGGTTGCTTTCTTGTTCAAGATCCTGGAGTGTCTGAGACCTGTGTTTTCTCTGTCATCTGTCAAAGGGAGGGAGGCCGCGGAGGCTCGGGAAGTGGCGTGGGATGGCATGGGGAAACGCAAGTGTGGCTGGTTTGTTAAAGGTGGCAGGTTGGTGGCTTCCTGGTTTGGAAAGAAGTGGGGGAAGAGAGAGAGAGAGAGAGAGAGAGAGAGAGGAGTGCCTCTGTGTGTGTGTGTGTGTGTGTGTGTGTGTGTGTGTGTGTGTGTGTAAAATGGGGGTGCCGGCAGATGCTGGTGGTTCTGCATTCTGCCTCAGGTGCCCTGGGTTGTCTGATTCGTCCTGATCGTTTCATTGTTGGTCCATGGGAGTGACGTGGGGGTCACAGCACAGCTACCTTGATGCTCGCTCTGTCAGGAGTGACTGTGGGTGGAGGGGCTGCCTCCACCTAGCATGGGTATCTGGAGTTTGGGGTCTGGCCTGCACTCAGGCTAGGGAACTCTGCTTCCCCTAGATTAGGGTCCCTGGGGACATGGCCACATCTCTCTGCTCAGAATGGGTCCTTGAGAACAGGGCTCCATGCCACCCTTGCTGGCCCTACCCTTTGCTGAGTGGGCAGAGCAGCCACAGGGTCTCAGAGCCTGGTGTCCTCAGGGAAAGGGCTGGTGTGGAATCCCCTCCCTCCCTGACCACTTCCTCTCTTGTCTTGCAGACTGTGCCCTGTCTACGGCGCCTCCTGCATGTCCTGCTGCCCTGAGCTGTCCCGAGCTAGGTGACAGCGTGCCACGCTGCCACCATGAACGAGGTGTCTGTCATCAAAGAAGGCTGGCTCCACAAGCGCGGTAAGGGGCCGCTTCTGCCCGCTGGATTGCAGTCCTTCTCCCACCCTGGCTCCTCCTGGAAGCTGTGCCAGAGGCGTAGGGTCGTACCAGCCTGAGGAGCCAGCGTGCTGCAGCCCCAGGCCCACAGCTGCTTCCGACTCGTGTCATGGACTCCTTCAGCGGTCGCCTGGGCAGCAGAGCAGGGATCTACCTGTGCATGAGTGATCTCATTCATAGCCCCATTTTGTAGATGCAGAAACATCTATAAAGGGAAAGTCACGTGACTAAACGAACACAGTGAGGCAGTATTCACTGATGTGTGTTGTGTGCCAGGTAGCCCTGGGCTCCGGGACACAGTGGTGCCCTGATGGAGCTTACATTCCAGTGTGGGCGGGGCAGACGGTAAAGAAGCAGACATGGAATGTCGGGGTGGCAAGTGCTGGGGTGAAAATCAGGAACTGTGAGGGCCAGTGGCTGGAGAGAGGGGGCGTCGAGAGGCTGCCCTGAGGAGGCGGTAGTGGGAAGAGGCCTGAAGCCTGGAGGAGGCAAGGGCAAGGGTGTCCCAGGGAGGAGGACACAAGCCCAGAGGCCCTGAGGTGGGGGGTGTGCCTGGTGTGTGCCGGTGACAGCGTGGCTGGGGCAGTGTGCGTTCAGGGGAGCTCGGGAGGCGAGCAGAGGAGTAGCACGGGGCCAGCCGTGTCGGGCCTGCGGGCCACGGAAAGGGCTTGGCTTTGGCGCTCCAGGTGAGAGCAGCCTCGCGATGGCGTGAGCTGCTGCGTGGCTTGATCCATTTGTACTAGTGGGCAGTTGAGGTTCCCTTTTCGTGAAGTTAGGACAGGGAAGAGACCATTTTTGACCCCAGGGCTGCTTGTCCCCAGGTGGCTGCCAAGCAAGACTGGGAGGCACATGGGGAGAAGTGCCACATGCTGAGAGGTGGCTTTGTCCCAGGCTGGTTTCCGTTGGCCTCCCGCTGGGAGGAAGGGTCCCAGGTGTGGGGGTGGCTGCCCTGTGTACGCTTGCATTCATTCAGCAAACGTGCTGAGCAGCGCCTGTGGGCCAGGCCCTGTTCTAGGTCCTGGGGTCCAGCAGTGAGCCAGATGGGCGGACATCCCATCCTCGTACTGGTATCTTGGGTGCTGACGGGGAGGCAGACAGCTCGCAGGCAGACAGGTGTGTACTGCAGTGGTGTGAGCCATGGAGAAAATCAAGCAACGTGAGAGGGATGGAGGGCATGAGGCAGGCGGGACGGCCAGAGGGGGCTTCGCTGAGAAGGGGGCATCTGAACAAAGGCTTGAAGAAAGTTGGGGAGTGAGCCCCATGGTTATGTCAGAGGGGACAGCCAGTGAGTTCTGAGTGGGTAACCGGGCTTGTTCGAAGAGAGTCAGGAGGCTGATGGCGCTCGTGCTGTGGGTGTTGGGAAGAGCCTGGGTTCCTGCACTGTTCCAGCCTGCAGACGCAGCATCAGTGAGGGGTGGAGGCCCCTCCCTGGGACAGCCTCCCCCTGCCCCCGACTAAGCAGAGGAGACCCACGTCCTGCTGTTCTTTCTGGACAGAGATGGCTTTCAAGGCCCCTTGGCCTAGTCCCCCAGCCTGAGCCTGGAGTTTGGGGTTGTTGATGGAGCTTCCTGAGCCTTGGGAGATATCAAGGTTCTAACCCTGGTTCTGCTGCTTCCTCTTGGTGCAACTGCGGGTGAGCCGTGTCAACTTTCTGGGCCTTGGTTTCACATCCGTAAAATGGGTTAACAAGCCAGGCCTCTGATGTTGTCAGCTCCACAAGGGCAGGCATTTTCGTGTGGCTTCTTCATGATGGTATCCCCAATACGTCTATAAGTGGTGAGCATACACTAGACACTCAGTAGATGATGGTTGAATCAGTGATTGGCATTGTGTATGGACGATGTGCTGGGGTATACGTGGGGTCATGGGCTCCTGTACCTTTGCCTGCACTTTGGGAGGCTGTGGCTCACTAGTTTGGACCGTGAGAGCCTTGGGATGGGTGCAGAACTGTTGGAAGGGAGGAGTTTCTCCCTGGTCAAATGAGTCTTGGCCCCTCTTAGGCCTTCAGTGTCCCCATTCATTCTACAGAGGGCCAGATGACCCAGCTACAGGCCTGCCCCTGTCATCTGGGATAGCCCAGCTCTGACACACCTGTCTATACACACACATGTGCACACCTGCACTCCTGGGTTGTCCCAGTGCCCATCTTTCTGAGTAACAGCTGGCAGAAGTGGGCGAGGCAAGGTGGGCCCTGCTGGCTACTGCTGTTTTGGCACCTCTGCCACCCGACTCCCACCCTTGGTAGTTAAAATAATAACAGTGCTGGTTTACTAAGTACTTCTGTGTGTCAAACACTGGGCTCTGCTCTAGGCAAGCCTGATGTTGAATTTTCATAGGTGCCCTGTGGGGCACGTGCCACCTTAGAGACTGGAAGGCTGAGGCTCAGTAGGAAGAGTGACTTGTTTGAGGTTTCAGCAAGGAGTGAGGACAACTGAGGTCGGACTCAGTCCCTCTGACACCTGAACCAGTGCTCTCGAGGCCTGGCCCACGTGCTGCCTCTCACCCAGCAAACTGCTTAAGGCCTAGAGCGTAGTGATGGTATGTTGAATCAGAGTCACTCATGTGCTGGTCCCACTTCTGACACAGCTGTAGCACACCACCACTAGCAGAGCATCTGCCCTCTGTTAGGCCCCATCTGCCAGTTTAGAGACAGACAGTACAGTAGTCAAGATGTGGGCTGTTTTCTTCAATCCTAGTTTTCCTGGGTAACAACTGGGAAGCTTGCGCAAAGTAATAGGACCTCTCTGTGACTCAGTTTCTTCATTTGCAAAATGGGACTACAATTGTGAGAATATTTTTTCTTCTACCTGTTTTTTTTTTTCCCATCGAGATGGGGTCTTGCTATATTGCCCAGGCGGGTCTCAAACTCCTAGCCTCAAGTGATTTTCCTGTCTTGGTCTCCCAAAGTGCTGAGATTACAGGCATGAGCCAGTGTGTCTGGCCTTTAGGTTTATTTTCTTAGCTTGTTACCAAATTATGAAAGGCCACAGATAAATGCCTAAATAATAAAGTCACCCCAATCCCAGTGTACAGTTCAAGAAATAGAATGAGACAGTCCCCAGAAACTCTTGTGCCTTTCCCAAGCAGGAACCACTCTCCCAACCTCCAGTAACACAGATAAGGTTGTTTTTAGTATTTATCTTTTTTTTAAATAAAAGGAGATGAAATTTACATAATGTAAGATTAACCATTTTGAAGTATATGATTCATTGGCCTTGAGTATATCACAGTGTTGTATAACCACTACCTCTAGTTTCAAAATGTTTTCATTACCCCAAAATAAAACTTTGTACCCATTAAGCAGTCAGTTTTTGTACCCTATGTCTTAGTTCATTCTGTGCTGTTATAACACATTACCCGAGACTGGGTAATTTATAATGAACAGAACCTTCTCACAGTTCTGGAGGTAGGGAAGTCCGAGATTCAGGGCTGGCATCTTCTTGTTGCACATCTCATGGCGGAAAGGGGAAGGGTGAGAGAGAGCAAGACAGGGCTGAACTTACCCTTTTTTTTAGACAGAGTTTTACCCTTGTCTCCCAGGCTGGAGTGCAATGGCGCGATCTTGGCTCACTGCAACCTCCGCCTGCTGGGTTTGAGGAGTTCTGCTTCAGCCTCCTGAGTAGCTGGGATTACAGGCAGGTGCCACCACACCTGGCTAATTTTTTTTTTCTTTTTTTTTTTTTTGAGATGGGAGTTTCGCTCTTGTTACCCAGGCTGGAGTGCAATGGCGCGATCTCGGCTTACCGCAACCTCTACCTCCTGGGTTCAGGCAATTCTCCTGCCTCAGCCTCCTGAGTAGCTGGGATTACAGGCATGTGCCACCATGCCCAGCTACTTTTTTGTATTTTTAGTAGAGACGGGGTTTCACCATGTTGACCAGGATGGTCTCGATCTCTTGACCTCGTGATCCACCCTCCTCGGCCTCCCAAAGTGCTGGGATTACAGGCTTGAGCCACCGCGCCCGGCCCACACCTGGCTAATTTTTGTAGAGATGGGGTTTCACCATGTAGGCCAGGCTGGTCTCGAATTCCTGACCTCAGGTGATCTATCCGGCTTGGCCTCCCAAAGTGCTGGGATTACAGGTGTGAGCCACCACACCTGGCTGAACTCCTCCTTTTATAACGAACCCACTCTGCAATGATGTCATTAATCCATTCATGAGGGTGGTTGCTCCCTTGTCCCAGACACCTCCGATGAGGCTTTGGGATCAAGTTTCCAGCACATGAACTTTGGGGGACAATTCAATTCATAGCATCCCCATCTTCCCAGCATCTGCTAACCACCAGTTTATTTTCTGTCTCTATGAATTTATGTACTCTGGACATTTCATGTAAATGGAGTCATTCAATATGTGGCCTTCTGTGACTGGCTTCTTTCACTTAGCAACATGGTGTTTTGAGACAGGGTCTTGCACTATCGCCCAGGCTCCGGTGCAGTGGTGGGACCTTGGCTTATGGCTCACTGCAGCCACAACCTCCTGGTCTCAAGTGCTTCTCCTACCTCAGCCTCTAGAGTAGCTGGGACTATAGGTGGGTGCCACCACACTCCGCTAAGCTTAATGTTTTTGAGGTTCCTCTATGTTGCAGCATGTATCAGTATGTCATTTCTTTTCTTTCCTTTTCTTTTCGAGACAGAGTTTCACTTTGTTGCCCAGGCTGGAGTGCAGTGGCGTGGTCTTGGCTCACTGCAACCTCTGCCTCCTGGGTTCAAGCAATTCTTGTGCCTCAGCCTCCTGCATAGCTAGGACTACAGGCACCCACCGCCATGCCCGGCTGTTTTTTTTTTTTTTTTTTTTTTGTATTTTGGTAGAGACGGGGTTTTGCCATGTTGCCCAGGCTGGTCTCAAACTCCTGAGCTCAGGCAATCAATCCGCCCATCTTGGCCTCTCAAAGTGCTGAGATTATAGGTGTGAGCCACCGTGCCTGGCCATGTCATTTCTTCTTGTGATGAGTAATCTCTGTTGTAGATGTATCACATTTTATTGTCTGTTCATCTGTTGATGGACGGTGGGGTGATATATTCTATATTTAACTTTTTGAAGAAGCAGCTGCACCATTTACATTCCCACCAGCAGTGCATTGAGGGTGACAATTTATATCCTTGCCAACACTTGTTTTTTTTATTACAGCCATTTTAGGGTGTGTAAACTCGTAGTTCTGTGTGTGTGTGTGTGTGTGTGTGTGTGTGTGTGTGTCTGTCTGTCTGTGGTTTTTTAGAGACAGAGTCTTGCTCTGTTTCCCACTCTGGAGTGCAGTGGTGCCATCTTGGCTCACTACAACTTCTGCCTCCCGGGTTCAAAAGATTCTCAGGCCTCAGCCTCCCAAGCAGCGGGACTACAGGCATGTGCTATCAAGTCCGACTAATTTTTGCATTTTCAGTAGAGAGGGGGTTTCACCATGTTGGCCAGGCTGGTCTTGAACTCCTGACCTCAAGTGATCCACCCACCTCAGCCTCCCAAAGTGCTGGGATTACAGGCATGGGCCACTGCGCCCGGCCCTCATTGTGGTTTGGATTTATGTTTTCGGGATGACTCATGATGCTGAGCATCTTTTCATGTTTCTCTTGACCATTTGTGTATCTTTGGAGAAATGTCTATTTGAGTCCTTTGCCCATTTTAAAGTCAGCCTATTTGTCTTTTTGTTGTTGCATTTGTAAGAGTTCTTGATGTGTTCGAGTTAATAGACCCTTATCAGATTTTCAAGTATTTCCACCCATTCTGTAGGTTTTTTACTTTCTTGACAATGTCCTTCATGCACAAAGGTTTTTAATTTTGATGTGTTCACTTTACTTTTTTTCTTTTTGTTGCTTGTGCATTTGGTGGCATTTAAGAATTCATTGCCAAATTAAAAGTGATGAGATTTCACTCCTATGTATTGTTACAGGATTTTGTAGTTTTAGCTCTTATATTCAGGTGAATTCATTTTGAATTGGTTTTTATATGTGGTATGTAGTATGAAATAGGGGTCTGACTCCATTCTTTTGAATGTGGATATCCAGTTGCCTCAGTTTCCTCATCTGTAAAATAGGGATAAGATTGTGAGGATAGGCTGCTCTGGGCATATTGCCTATGGGGCACTGTTCCCTGCTCTGCAAGTAACAGTATTTAACAAAGATGGTAAGGATATTTTTTCTTCAAGGTTTTTTGTTTTGTTTTGTTTTGAAAAAACATGATCTCTTTGAAGAAACTATTCTTTAGCCATTGAATGACCTTGGCACCTGTGTTGAAAATCAAATGAATGTAGATATTTGGGTTTATTTTTTGGCTCTGAATTCTATCCAATTGGTCTCTATGTCTGTCCTTATACTGCACTGTTTTGATTACCGCACTGTTTTGATTACTGTAGCTTTGTATAGTAAAATTTGAAATTGGAAAGTATTGAGTCTTTTAAACTTTATTCTTCTTTTTCAATACTATTTGGGCTATTTAGGGCCTCTTGAAATTCCATGTGAATGTGAGGATTGGCTTTTCTATTTCTGAAAAAAGAGAAAGGCTGTTGGAATTTTGATAGGGTTTACATTAAATCTGTAAATTGCTTTGGGTAGTACTGCCATCTTAATGGTATTGTCTTCTAATCCTTGAACATAGGATGTCTTTGCATGTTTATAGATCTCTAATTTCCTCAAACAAAACACTGTTTGAAAAATTAGAGATCTTTATACATGCAAAAGCCCTTCACCTCCTTGGTTAAGTATTTTTTTGGAGGCTGTTGTAAATGCCTTTTTTTTTTTTTTTTTTTTTTTTTTTTAAAAAGAGAGTTTTGCTCTGTCACCAGGCTGGACTGCAGGGGCACCATCGTAGCTTCAGTTTCTTGGGCTCAGATGATCCTCCCATTTCAGCCTCCTGAGAAGCTTGGAATTCAGGCATATGCCAGCCCCCTCCTGGCTAATTAAAGAAATTTTTTTGTGGAGACTGTGTCTCACTATGTTGCCCAGGCTGGTCTCAAACTCCCTGATGTAAGCCTGTCCCGGCTTCCCAAAGTGCTAGGATTTTACAGGCGGGAGCCTCTGTGCTGGCCTTTTATAGACATGTCGAGGTAAAATTGATGCACTACATGATTCTTCCATTTAAAGTATACAGTTCATTGTTGATGGACATTAGGGTTGCTTCCACTTGATGGATACTATGGATAATGCTGCTGCAGACATTTGTGTGTTAAGTTTTTGTGTGGATATGTTTCACCATCTCCTTTTAATCCTTAGCAGCTCTCTGAGGAGTGGGTTTGTGTGTGTGTGTGTGTGTCTGTGTCTGTGTATCTGTGTGTGTGTGTGAGTATGTAGGGTGCTTGGATTTTCATGGTGAGAACAGTTGAAAGGAGTCAAGGGTGCTGGGAGGGTGTGGCGGCAGCACTACCCCACCTGGCACAGTTGTTTTGGCATTTGATCTACCTGCACAGCTGTATTGGTGAATACCAGCCCATGGGATTTGGCCTTACAGGGCCACAGGGCATGTGTGTTTGGAAGCCTGGGCCTCCCCTGGGACTAGGCCACATGCTGAGGCAACTGGTGCCCCAGGGCACTGCCGCTGGCGCCTTCCTGGCAGGCATGACCTGTGGATCACTGGGGCTCAGCCCAGCACCCCAGTCTGCATCAGCAGGGGCCACCTGGAGGGCTCCTCCGGAAGAGGCATTCTCGTGTGTCCCCTGCCCCCGCACCTGGCACCCCTTGGCACTCTTTGTGAGTCACCATCATACTAGACCTCCTGCCACCCACTTGGGACATCCCTCAACCTTGTGCTAACCTCTCTCACCCCTCCTGCCTCATTTCAGGTGAATACATCAAGACCTGGAGGCCACGGTACTTCCTGCTGAAGAGTGATGGCTCCTTCATTGGGTACAAGGAGAGGCCCGAGGCCCCTGATCAGACCCTGCCCCCCTTAAACAACTTCTCTGTAGCAGGTGTGTCTTGGGACGAGTAAGCCAGTGTTCTGGTGCTCACAGGATGGCTGGCAGGTCGTGGGGGCTCATGGGACGTTGGTCACTGAGCCTGTGGACCTCTCCTGGGCCTGCTTGCCCTTGGGTCCGTTTCTGCCCTTCTCCTGCTCCCTCCTTGTTAGCTGGCCAGGCGGGGCTGTCCTGAGGGGAGATGCCGAGTGGGAGGGAGGGAGAAGTCAGGACGCTTGCCCACACCCAGCTCCACGCATCACCTCCTTGTGGCTCCAGCTTCTGTTGGCCAGGCCTCATGGTCCCAGCTGCTGGCAGGTGCTTTCTGTCCTGTGCTTTGGTAACAGCCTCCATCCTCTGTCCCTCAGACATAAAGGGGTTGCAGCTTCCCACTCAGCCAGTCACAGGAGTGGCCTTGTTTCCTCTGCCCGTCTCCGTGTTACCCAAAGGGATGCCTTCCAGCCAGACCCGGGCAGTGAAGTTTCAGAAGCCCCAAGCCCTTGACTGAGCCTTGGAGAATGTGGTCCTGTCCGCACCCCTGCCCCCTTCTGCCTTCTTCCTTCCTTGCTGACCTGATGGGTCACCATTTCCTGTTGTTCTGCCAGCTAAGAACATTACAGAGTCACCCCCATCTCCCCTGCCAGTGCCTTAGCCCAGACCACTGTCTCTCCTGTCATTCTCTGAAACCCAGCCCCCATCCCATGCTGCTCTGCGTGAGGCCTTTTCCTGGTTGCTCTCCACGTGTGCTGGTGACTCCGACACTTCTGTTCCGAGCCCCAGCGTCTCACTGGAAACTCCCAGCCTGTCCCAGGCTGCTCCTTGGACACGTCTCCCCAGGTGTCCTCTAGGTCCCTCATGCCACGTCCCAACCTCACCTTCAGGCTTCTCCCAGCTTTCTATTCCTGTCTCCATGTCAGGGAGAGCAGGCCAGAGGCCTGGGCCTTGTCCTTAATGCCTTCTCCCCATGGCCCATCGGCCTGCCCTCTCTTCCCCTCTGCAGGGCTCCTCTCTGGTGTGACCCCCTCCTCCCTAACTGACTCCCTGCCTGCCTGGTCTCCTGACCTCCAGTCTCACCCTCTACATGGCAGCCAGAGGGCTCAGTCTCAGTCTGTTTGTGTCCCTTCCCTATCTAAAGCCTTCGGTGGCTCCCTGCTGCCCTGAGGACAAAGTCCAGATTCTTCCCTATAGGCCTCCAAAGCCCTGCCCGGCTGGCCGCAGCCCACCTCTCCAGGCTGGTCTCTCACTTGCCCCTCCTCACCTTTGGAGCAGAATTGGCCACCCCCTGAGTATGTCACACCCCCTCTCACCTCTCACCTCTGTTCTTCAGGTACCCTCTAAGTTCCCTTTGCCTTCAGGGCTTAGTTCAGAGAAGCTGCTTCCTCTGAGGAACCCCCTTCCCCGCCCCCAGGCTGGGTTGGATGCTGCCTCTGAGCTTCTGACACCTCTGGGCTTGTCCCCATCACGGCCCTGTCTTCTGGAGCCGTCACACTCTGGTGGGCTCCTCCCCTTCCACACACACACTAGACCCTGAGCCGTGTGAGAGGAGGACCAGGGCTGTCTCAGTCCCTAAAGTGTGTCCCCAGCACCATCTGGCATGGGGCTGGGCATGTGGGAGGTGGCTCAGGCACTGTGGGCTGCAGGCTGGCAAGGCTGTCCCCTCAGCCCCCTCCTCTCTGTTCCGTCTGCCTGCAGAATGCCAGCTGATGAAGACTGAGAGGCCGAGGCCCAACACCTTCGTCATACGCTGCCTGCAGTGGACCACAGTCATTGAGAGGACCTTCCATGTGGATTCTCCAGATGAGAGGTGGGTCTGGGCCTCTGTGTGGCCGCCATTGAGAGGGACCAAGCCTGGTGTGAAGAGAAGGGGTACATACACAGATGGAGAGAATTTTCCCTGGGACCCTACATAGGGGTTTCGAGTCCACTCCTGTCGGTGTGGGGGTCTTCTCAGCTGGGGCTAAGAAGAGCTGGAGTTCTTACTCTGAAGATCCCACACTGTCCTCAGACTTGAGGGTATATTGGAATCACAGGCAGAGCATGTGAACAGTCTAGACCACTGGGTCTTGCCCTGAGATCTGCCCAGGGTCAAGGACCTACGTTCTTTTTTTTTTTTAATTTTTATTTATTTATTTATTTATTTATTTTTAAGATGGGGTTTCACCATGATGGCCAGGCTGGTCTTGAACTCCTGACCTCAGGTAATCGACCCACCTTGGCCTCCCAGAGTGCTATGATTACAGGTGTGAGCCGCTGCGCCTGGCCAATTTTTTGTGTTTCTAGTAGAAATGGGGTTTCACCATATGAGGCTGGTCTGGAACTCCTGAACACAGGTGATCTGCCTGTCTCAGCCTCTGAAAGTGCTGGGATTACAGGCGTGAGCCACCATGCCTGGCTTTCTTTTTTTTTTTTTTAAAAGACGGGGTTTCAGCATATTGGTCTGGCTGGTCTTGAACTCCTGACCTCAGGTGATCCGCCTGCCTCAGCCTCCCAAAGTGCTGGGATTACAGGCGTGAGCCACCACGCCCAGCGCCTGGTTTTCTTTTTGAGACAGAATCTCGCTCTGTTGCCTAGGCTAGAGTGCAGTGGTGTGATCTCAGCTCACTGCAACCTCCACCTCCCGGGTTCAACTGATTGTCCTCCCTCAGCCTCTCCAGTAGCTGGGATTACAGGCATGTGCCACCATGCCCAGCTAATTTTTGTATTTTTAGCAGAGATGGGGTTTTACCATGTCGGCCAGGTTGGTTGGTCTTGAACTCCTGGCCTCAAGTGATCTGCCTACCTTGGCCACCAAAGTGCTGGGATTACGGGTGTGAGCCACCCTGCCCAGGAAGAGCTACATTCTTAATGAGAATCTCTATTGATTTTGAGGCAGGTGGTCCAGAGAGTCATTTTAAAAATGATCAATTTAGTAATCAGAAGAGATGATAAAGACCTACCCATTTCAAAAATGAAACAGTGTAAGGAGGTGTCTACTGGGAGCTTCCCCTCCCTGCCCTTTCCGTTCACCCCCTCACCCCACCCTCCAGTTAATCACTGTTCTTAGGTGCCCTGGAAGAACAGAGGGAGACCTTTGTGCCTTGCTGCCCTTGTTTTTTTTTTTTTCTTTTTATACAAAAGGTAGCATTGTACACTCTCCTGGATTGGCTTTTTCCCTTAGTGTACCTTGGAGAATTTGCCTTGATGTATGGAAAGATGCAGCCGCTTTGTTTCATGTTTTGTTTTTTTTTCTGTTTGAACAGTTGGACATGTGTGTCCCAAGTGTGTTTATTTAGGCATTCTTTATTAGTGATGACTGGGGTTGTTTCCAGCCTTTCGCTCATGATAAGCGATGCTTCGGTGAAATAGCTGTGTCTGTCTCGTTTGATGTGTGCACAGGGTAGACCTGTCTGACAACTGCTTGGATGAAGGATTGCTGAGGCACCGGGAAAATGCGTTTGTAGTTTTGCAACGTTTCCATTAGGTGATGTCTGAGAGTGTCCTCGTGGCCTTGTGTTTTCAAAATTTTGGATCTATACCAGTCTGAGCAGTCGAAAATTTAGCACCTCAGGGTGTTTAACTTGTGAGTTTCTTATTCTGAATTGTCTATATTGTCTGTATATTTTTTTGTTGGGTGGTTGGTCTTTTTCTTATTTATGTATTAGCTCTTTATATATTAAGGAGCTTAGCCCTTTGTAATCAATGGGAAATGTTCCTTTTTCCCACTTTGTCCTTTTGGACCTCACTTCAAGAAATAGTCTTCTAGGCCGGGCGCGGTGGCTCAAGCCTGTAATCCCAGCACTTTGGGAGGCCGAGGCGGGTGGATCACGAGGTCGAGAGATCGAGACCATCCTGGTCAACATGGTGAAACCCCGTCTCTACTAAAAATACAAAAAATTAGCTGGGCGTGGTGGCGCGTGCCTGTAATCCCAACTACTCGGGAGGCTGAGGCAGGAGAATTGCCTGAACCCAGGAGGCAGAGGTTGCAGTGAGCCGAGATCGCGCCATTGCACTCTAGCCTGGGTAACGAGAGTGAAACTCCGTCTCAAAAAAAAAAAAAAAAAAAAAAAGAAATAGTCTTCTAGCAGGCCAGGCGCGGTGGCTCAAGCCTGTAATCCCAGCACTTTGGGAGGCCAAGGCAGGTGGATCACGAGGTCAAGAGATCGAGACCATCCTGGTGAACATGGTGAAACCCCGTCTCTACTAAAAATACAAAACATTAGCTGGGCATGGTGGCACGTGCCTATAATCCCAGCTACTCAGGAGGCTGAGGCAGGAGAATTGCTTGAACCCAGGAGGTGGAGGTTGCAGTGAGCCGAGATCGTGCCATTGCACTCCAGCCTGGGTAACAAGAGCGAAACTCCGTCTCAAAAAAAAAAAAAAAAAAAAAAAAAAAAAGAAAGAAATAGTCTTCTAGCTTTTCCATGGGGTAAGGTTTCAGCAGACCCTCTGGAGAGCCCTGAAATAGGAGAAAGAAGAAAAGAAATAGGAGAAAAAGCCCTGAAACAGGAGAAAGAAGAAAACTTCCTGCCGTTAGGGAAATGCTCTGTATCTGCACTGTCCAATAGGCACCTATGCCGATTGAGCTTTTGAAATTCAGCCACCAAGGAATGGATTTTTTTAGTTTATTTTAATTAATTTAAATCACCACATATGGCTAGTGGCTACCTTCTTGGACAGTACAGTTCAGAAGTCTATAATACCATGAGACTTGCTACTACAATCTATACCATAATTATCATTGTGTATCCTCCCAAGGTAAAAAAAAAATATACTTGCCCCACTGAGGGGAACAAAATTACCCTCTCAAGCCAACTGAGGTGCTACTCAGTTGAAAACTATGGACCAAAACATGAATGGCCAGTAAAAACAGATCAAGACCAGTAGGTGTCTAGGTCCTGGGTGTTGGGCTGGGTTTTGAAGGCTGTATAGGAGTTGGCCACGGAGAGAGTGAGGAGAAAAGTTCAGAAGGGACAGCATATGCAAAGGCCTAGAGGTGAGTGAAATAGCTCATGCTTTCTGGGGACCACAGGGGTTCTGTGTCACCAGAGAATCCAGGGGCCAGGAGTGTTGGAAGAGGGTAATTGGAGGTGCTCAAAGCTGGAGAGCTCAGCCAAGGCCTTGGACTCCAGGTGGAGATCCCCACAGGGCTTGGCAGGCGCTTAATAAATTGGGGTTTGTCTCAGGGTTGTTACACGACGCAGGGGGATGATAAACAGGAGTGGCTGATGCAGCAGTACCTGGCAGAGTTCGCAAGCCTGGAACGGGAGCAGGGGGAGCCGGCAAGGTGTTTCAGTAGGCAGGAGAGATGATCTCGTTTCCCTTTGCACAAGACAACATGCCCCTTCCTTTACCAAGATTGTGTAAGCCGGAGAGCCCCACCTGCCTTTTCTTCTTGGTACCTGCTGCTGTTGCCAAAGAGAATACTGCCGGAACTACTCTCGGAGACCAGATCCCAGGTTTCTGACCTTAAGTCTGGGTGGATGGAGGGGGTGAGCCAGAAACCCAGCAAGAGGGAGCCCCCTCCACCCTGCTCCTGGCTGACTGATGCTGTCCTCACAGCCCTAGCCCACATAGGCTGATGCCAGCTGGCCTCTCCTAAGCCTGGGGAGGGATGCGGGGGTTGCAGGGCAGGTGGGTGCCACTCGGTGACTGCCTGTTGGTTAGGTGCTGCAGCACCTCCTCACTGGGCTCCTGGTTGCCTCTCTAGCTGGAGAGACCCTCCTCCCTGTCCTCCACTTCACTGCAGATATGTTGTTTCAAACAGAGAAAGATTGAAAGGATAGTGTAATGAATGGACGTCCAGGCATCCCGCTCCTGGTCCCGCATTCACCATGTCTGCCTCATCTGGCTGTGTTTTATGCTGAACCTGAACTTGGATTCATACTTTGTGACACTTTACTCCTTACAGCTATGGCAAGCATCTCCTAAGAATAAGGACTTTCTTCTACAGAATCATGATGCTGTCATGGCTGAGATAGTTATAAAATAATTTGTTTACTAATAACTTCTCCTTATCCATGCCATACTTGAATTTCTCTGGTTACCTTTTGAAGGATACACAGCCTCTAGAATGTTGTTTTTCAAACCAGGATTCATGCAAGGTACATGTCTCTTTGACCTGTTTTATTTAATCTAGTTCAGCATTTTGTCCTTTTTTTTCCCTCCCAAAGACATTGATTTTTTTTTTTTTTTTTTTTTTTGGACAAGCCAGGCTAGTCATCTTGTAGAATGTCACACCTTCTGGGTGTGTCATATTATTGTCTTTTGGTGGTGTTTACTTTTGTTCCCCATGTCTGTATCTCTTGTAAACTAGAATTCTGTCTGGAACAGGGTAGGCAGACTATTGCCCTGCCTTCAATTTTTTAAATAAAGTTTTATTGGAACATGACCATGTCCAGTTTGTTCATGAATAGTCTGGCTGCTTTTGCCTTACTATGGCTGAGTTAAGTACTTGCGACAAAGACTGGCTTGCAAAGCCTAAAACATTTAAGAATTGGCCCCTTAAAATTTTAATTAAAAATTTTTTAAATTTAAAGCTTTTTTAAAAAATTGACACAAGTTCTTGCTCTGTTGCCCAGGCTAGAGTGCAGTGGCACAGTCATAGCTCACTGCAGCCTCAAACTCCTGGGCTTAACCCATCCTGATGCCTCAGCATTCCGAGTAGCTGGGACTGTGGGTGTGTACCACCATGCCTAGCTCATTTTAAAATTTTTTTGTAAAGACAGAATCTTGCTGTGTTGCCCAGGCTGGTCTCAAACTCCTGGTCTCAAGCAATCCTTCCTTCCTCCACCTCCATCCCAGTTTGTGCTGGGATTATAGGCACAA